ACCACTATTCAAACTCAGCTCAGCATTGCATCACAACACTACGCCTGGTGCTATCCCCACTTCCATGATGACTAGCTCCTCTAACCCACTCGGAACTCCACTGGTGCATTCTGCTGCCCTCTCCTCCACTGAGGGGCACTCCATGCCTTACTCATCCCCTGCCCTCCACTCTGCCTCTGCTCCCCAACCAGGCATGACATCATCATGATGCTCAATGACATCGTCCTGCTCCACTGTCTCCACAATGTAGTATAAGTATTGCGCTTGTAGTACTGTTGTACCCCATCTAGCAACCTGTCTTCATCCCCTCTTGACATCCCTCCTCCCTTGTACCTCTGCTGTCTCCTTGCCTCTACTCTGTCCTCACTACCTCTCTTGTCATTGTCACCATCCTCCTCTGACCCCACTTGGACTCCATCTGATCCTCGTATCGTTGTCTCTCTCTCAACCACTCCTGTCAACTCGCACCTCCCTGTACCTCCGCTAGAGGGTACCTCTGTCCTCTTCACATTGTATACACCTCTGTGCCCTTGTCTCCTTGCACTTGGAACTCAGACCCAGGCTCCACCTCTCATTGTCACTCCATTGTCACTCCTCCTTCTAAGTCCATACCAAGTTTACATGCCAACCCAACCAAGTCCACAACCCAACTCTACATTCCCACACCTTCACCACACTTCGCTTACTCAAGACCCTCAGTTCCCACACTTCACCATCCAACTCGTACTCCCTCTCCTTGCTATCAACATCCACTCCAAGCCCCTTTGGGCATCCTTCATCCCTTCATCATCGTCCCTCTTGCCACTGTACCAAGTACCCCCTCAAACATCTACTATCCCATGCCACAGTCCTAGAGCCCATGTCTGAGGCTTCGAGCCCATTCATGACAGTTACCCACCGCCCTTGCTACCCTCATGTCTGGAGGTCTTGCTACTGCCATCATTGTCTAGATTTACACCCACCAGTACTACAAAGATCCAACCTACCAAACAGATATGGTGGCCAACCTCAAAAGGGGTGCTTTCCTTCTCAATGAAGGTGTCGACAAAAAAGACACTAGTGCTGACCAAGCAACTGCTTCTCTAACCACTTTGACCATATCTGCTTTGGCTGTGAGTCAATTTCTCCGTCTTGCACAGCTCCGCTAATGTATCTGTCCAGAGCCATGTTATATCAATTGCTGGTCCATTAGTCACAACCCTTGCTGCCTACCAAATCGCAGCCCTCTGGCTATGCACATCAGCTTCCCCAAATCCCAATGACCTTCATAATGCTCCTACCACTGCCCAGTCAGTTCTCATGTACCCCTCTGCTTGGAATTCCGTGCCTGACCTCGTTTTTGTAGGTACGGACTCCTCCTCGCACTGCTCAGTGCTCCCAGTTCAGGCACAATAGGAAGGTCCCTGCACTACGCAATCCACAGGCCGTTCTGTAGGTCCTCCATACCTCCCCTATTCCTTGAAGCTCTCGCCATCGCCTTCACTATCTGGTTCCTCACTCACCTTGTTGGAATCGCTGACCTTTGGCTCCACTCCACCACACGTTCCGTCCTTGTCAAGAATTATTCTCCTCTCTCCAGTGACCCTACCAACAACCATGTGATTATCTTTAATTCCTCTATCTGCAATACCTGGAATACATCGTCTTTGCCCTGCCTCAATTCCGATATGGGTTGGGCATATGAACAAGGCCATGTAATCCGGCTAGGTTGGGAGACCTCACACAACATTTCAACAACCGCATTCCAAGTTGTCACCCTTCACAATGCCAACGATATGGCCATCGTCACTCCCAGTTTGATCGATGACCCCTCCCTCGCTTCTCTACCAATCCAATACACCGCACCCACCTTTGCAGCTCGGGCAGACTGTCGCCTCCTCAACTCTGCCTGCCAACACGACCAATTCACTGGAGAAACTACCTACTGTTCCCAGGCTGGATATCCCTTGCTCCCACTCGCCACTCCTGTTAATTCTTCTATATTCAGAGGTGCGATGTTTCCTATCCACAACATAGCCAACAACCCATTACTTCCTCAGCAAAACACTATCTCCAGCCACATATTTGGGGTCATTGATGGTAATGTTGGGGGTACCGCCCGCAGTGTTGCCGACTTCCCTCTAAATGCCTCTGTAACCAATAACCCTGCCACCGTCATGGCCCAACTTCGCTGGGATACCATATACGGTGCCTATTCTATTACCACAACCCCTGAAGCACAGACCAACGTGGATACCTACCCACCAGGCTCCATCACACTCTATGCTGGGTGTAACCTACAGTATCATAACGTCTCCGTTCGCTACTCTCCAACCAACAATTCTTACACTCTCTTGAATGCCACACCTTCGTCTCCAGAGTTCACATCTATATTATGGCCCCCACTACTTGCTCAATATGTAACCGGCCAGCTGATGTCCAGGGCATGCCTCGTCGGGGTTTTGTACCTGTACGCCCTCATCACCTTGGCCATCTTCTTCATCTCTCGTGCTGCAACGTCATACACCATCCGTGTCACCCAGCCCTCAGGTTTCCTTGCATATGACGAGAAGAGCAGTGGTGTGCAAGAACGATCCTCATTAGCTCTCGCTCAAACGTGGTTGACTGATCCACTCCCACTGGCTGCCTCGTTCTTGTCACCCGACGATGGGAACGAGGCGACGCGTTCCGTCGAGGAGGACGCATTGGACATGACAAACGATCACGGAGCGGGCGTGAATCGGCTGCAGATTGGAATACACGACTATGGAGGGGACACGGTATTCGGCGTAAGAAATCGATTTAAAGATGGCTAGGCCAGTTCTCTGATTCGACGATCTCGCATCCATGTAAACATATTGTCGTCAATTCCCACTAGCTCTGTCTGTTGTTGTTTGCGCTGTTTTGTTGCATGTTGGTTTGTTTTGTTATTCTGTACTGGTACGCTTTCATGAAACCGCATACAACCACCACCGTTCCGCAATGCACAGAGCCTGCGACACCGCTTGTCGTACAAAAAACGAGCCGATATGCGTCAGAAACAACAACACCGCCCAACACCTGCCGTATGACATTTTCGTCTACACATTCGCAAACAGTAACCCTACAGACCACGCACTCGCAACAACAGTATCGCATGTATGTCGCACATGGAGAGCTCACGCACTAGTCACGCCTACGCTATGGAGTACGCTGAGGTTCCACCACGACAGCTACAACTGGATAGAACAGCGAATTTGGCTCGAACGATCCAGAGGCGCCCCACTGCACATCGAGTTCCACTTCTCGCTCCTCCAATGCCCAAGTTTGAACCAAATTAGCAAAGCCAACGAGATCCTGTTGCCACACATCCACAGATGGTCCTCGCTCGTCTTCCACGACGTTCCGACTGACGTCATCCGCGTCTTTTTTGCCAACCTATCGTCAGTCGACGCACCCAACCTCGATACTCTTCGCGTTATGTCCAATTCGGAAGACAACTCAGAATACGTATTCCGGCCGTTCGCACTCGGGACGCTGAAGCTGAGGGTATTGGAGACCAAGAATCTGCGCATCCCGCTCGAGTCACGATTATTCAGGAACTTGCATCACTTGACGCTCGGAAGGCATTGTGTTCCATGGTTCGCGGAGCATGCAACCGGAATAATATGCAAGCTCATCGCTATGGCGCCTCGTCTGAAGAGTCTTAGCGTATCGACTTGCCACCGGGCCACTACTTTGGATCCTGCTCAAGCGCCGGCGTTCCTTGCTCTCAATCTCTCCATTCCACCGGTCCTGGTTGCTGGGTGTCTGGAGGAACTGTATGTGCCAGCGTTTACTCTCCCCTTACTACTGTCTATCGTCAAGACACCCAATCTAAGACAACTCCCGACGAGGATCAGTCACCGGGATCCTGTTCTGCAAGTTTGCGTTAGCATACTCCCAGTAATTGCCGTATCTAATCAACTGGGTCGACTGGAATGCCTGTCATTGACGGGTTCAACCATCCAACATTCGTTCGCCTGCCTCGAGCACCTATCCAACACTCTTTCGTACATGGAGAATCTTCGGGCCCTGGAACTGGTCCGCATCCCACACGCCACGGATACGTACATTTATCCTCTCCAAACACTGTGTCCTCGGCTGACGACATTGATATTATACGAATGCAAGGGGGTGAGCTTGACGTGCATTCGGGCTATCACGGAGAGGCGGACTGCTTCGGGCAGTGCACTAACGCCTTTGGAGACGGTACAGTTGACACTTAGGTTTGGAATAAGCAGCGAATGGTTAGAGGAGTTGAGGAAGAGCGTCCCCATCGTGCGGGGCATGATATGATCATCATGTGATTTGACATTGTACAAGAATGATATCGGAACTATTCGGATCACTTGGAGCAAAGGATTGAGTGACCTGGTAGTGGTTGGCAGAGGGGTCGAGAGCATTTAGATTTTGCCTCGTCGCTGGAGCAGATCCTCCTCGTCCTTTTCAATCTGTTCATCAATCTCCGCACCGCGACTGGGCTTATGACCTTGATCAATTGCGGCACGGGTTGGCGGGTTTGACGTGGCATTTGCCTCTTCCTGTTCTTGTCGTTCCTCATCAGCGACCGCGGCGGCCGCACGAACATTCAAGGAGCGTTGGTCTTTTGAGTCTGAAGTGGAGATCAGAATGTGGCAACAAGAAGCCTATGTTACTGAGGCCACCTTGGTTGTCGTGTGCATTCTCGCGACCCTCGTGAAACCTGTTGTGGATCTTCTGGTGTTCTTTAGGGGCGTTCCTTTGGTCGCCGTCGGAAGCGTGCGTTTCGTACTGAGACTGCACCCTCTATTTAGCTACACAGGGACCGACAAAACAGAGTCAGCAACGTACGATCGTAGAGGTCATTTTGGGAAAGGGTGTAGAGGCAAATAGAGATGAAAGCGGGTCTTATGTACCCAACTCGCGCCTATGCTATGACGTGCTATGCTTGCGTCATAGCTCCAACCCATACCTGAAACTGCCCCACGCCCGTCCATACAAGGAAAACGACAAAAAAAGAGTGACAAGAGTGGGATTCGAACCCACGAAGGTTTCCCAACTAGCAAGTTCTCAAGAACCTGAAACTAGCGCCGTAACCACTTGGCTATCTTGCCGATCAACATAAATTCTAGGATAAGCATGTAAGTTGCCGATCGCAGTAGGAATACGATGAAGAACAGGACGTTTGGCACCGCACGAGGGACTTAGCGATACACAGGATACTTACCGAAGAGCTCCGGGTTCAGAACCAAGCTCCTGTATAGTTGTAGGTCTTACGCAGAACTCGCGAGCTGCTGTGTCATGAGCCAAGCACGCGACAAGCACCGTACTTCCAAGACATTTTCAGGGGATCGATACCACAGCTCTGATCGCGCAAACTCTCCCAGGGGACATGACCGTCGCGCGGTTCAAGATGATTACGTGGTCGGCGCCCGAGGCGGGCAGGATCCCCGCACCTCCGGCGTTGGTCAGGAGGACGTGATGCCCACCCGCTCACGGCGCGGTTTCCCTTGCAGCATAGCATTTCTAGGGAAAGATCCTAGCTTATTTGCTGTGATGATTCCGCATGTACAGCCAATGAGCTCGGGTGAACAATGCAACATAGGCCACCAAGTAGCTTGTGGATATGTTCGAGGTAAACGTCGTGGCGACGAGCGAGAGTGCATGGACCATAGAAAACCAAAAAGATCGGATCTACAGAGCATCAAATAACGAAGGTAAACGACCGAGATCTGACCGAATTCCGGCTATGAAATCCAGGCCTGTGAGGGGGCCTCGAGGAGTCGTTTTCAAATCCGGGTGCTGGACAAAAGAGCCAGTAATTTTCGCTTTGATGGTTGTAATTACATCGCATCTTGGATCAGTGGGGGAGGGGGAGGTGTTTCACAATGGTGTTGCTGGTGCACCTGGTGCGTAAATTAGTACCCGATATTGAATAAACCTGAGTTGTGCCGTAGCTCATGCTCAACTGCCTTCTTGAGCGCACCACTTAGAATCAAGTATGCACCCAGAACATATGGTAATTGTGCATAGGGGTAAATTTCAAGTGCAAATGTACATTATGTTATGCGAACCGTAGGTCTCGTCACCACATTTTGCAATCACGAGCCTTGAACGATGCCCTGAGTATTCGACGTTGACAGCACGGTAAACAACTCATCCTGCAAGCTATATGGCGGCGGGGGTACTGGAGGTAATGGTTTGTCTTCTGGTATATCTCGCCAACGCGACACCCGTGCTGACCGTCCAGCGGCTGCGTCCTCGACTGGTACTCGTTGTCGTCTGGTTCCATATTCTTGTGTTGTATGGTTGATGTCATGACGGTTGAGTTGAGTTGATGCAGGCGTTGATACCGTACTGGAGGAAGCAGGCGACGAATCGACCGGCTCATATGCTGGTACTTGTGGTCCCGACGGAGGTTCAGAGGTAGTCGGCATCTCCACTCCGGCAAGTGACAGCGGTGTCGGTGGCTGTGGCATTTGACCTGCATCGGACGCACTGCGACTTCTTTGATGGGAGCCTCCGATTCCCAATATGGACAATCTCTTGAATGGGTTTAGCTTGCTCATCAGACGTCGTGAGGGTGGTGAGGCAGAAGCAGTGGTTGGGGCTGAACGTTGGTCAAAATCCTCTTGTACAACTTCCAAGGGTCTGGAGGGCTCGTCCCGCGCAGCGTAAGTATGGATTCTTCCGTCTCCATCCGACTCCTCATTAGGAAATATGCTGGTGGGTGGAGGAAGAGGTCCACCATCGCCATCTGTGGGTCTCGACTCCAAGGAAAACATCGACGACCGAAGCTGCTCCCTCATACCTCCCCAGTCCTGCGTATTGTGGTTCGAATCGAGGGTATCCCACGGCGGGGGCTGGGCGAACGAGTTGACGACGGTTTCACGCAAGTTCCTCTCTGATCGGGCCGTATGCGTTGGGCGACGCATCAACACCCTGGAGGACGAACCCCCAACCCCAGATGTGTGCCTGGTCGTCGTTGGCGATGGCAGGATCCGAGATCTGGGCAGACGGGTGGGAGGGATGACCTTAGGTACGGTTAAAGCCGTCGGCCGTCGTAGTATAATCCTTTCAACTCCAGCTAAGCCCAACTCGTCGGCTCTTCCCCGACGGACGAGCTTCCGCTCCGGCCGTTCCCTCTCTGATCCATTGTCAGAGTTTGTCCGACTGCGGGCATTTCGGAGCGACGTAGGAGCAACGGGAGTATTAGGCACCAGGAATGGCTCTGATGTGTCAAAAAACCGATTCCATGGCCCTGGCAATTCGAATGGGTTATACCGGTCACGTCGTGAGCGACCGGGCAGACTTGGTCTGGACGAACAGATAATCAGCGAGTTATCATCCGTCCTCTTGATCAGAAGTACAATACCTCCTCTTTCCAGAGACCTGGCGCTTCAAATCAGCCCATTCCGATGTATCTTCGACCCATTCACCAGTACATCCTCCTGGCCGGGTACATCCCCCGCCTTTCCAATCTGCACCGCATCTAAGAGAACGTCGATCATCGCCCCCTACTGAAGTGCACCGGCGACTTACAAATGACAAAAATGCTGTCCACAGCGACACGTCATATGTGGACATCCTTGGATCGAAGAAGTCAGCAAATGTTATTAAAAGGGTACAATTCCTTACCTGAGACGCGTTCTACAAGGATCTTGCATTTCGGGCATCGTCTCCATTGGTTTTTGTTGGCAGTACGACGCAGAAGTTGTTCGTCTGCCAAAGGGTTCTGAAGCAGGGTAGCATACAAGGGTGATAGTCGTCAAAAAGGAATGACTACGAGTCGTTCAGTGACTTACCCGGAATTCCTCGCATGTCATACCTGTTATGAGTCATATTAGAGTAGGAAGTAAAGGTTCAACAGAGAGACCCATACCGGCATGCCAGATCGATCTGCAAGGGTAACACATACCCACATGACAAGCGGGACATTCGGTTTGCACGATGTCTTGGTCATCCACAATTTCAATTGGACTTGAGCATGCTGGATTAGGGCAGTAGAACTGCGGGTGGGACTCCTTAGTAAATGATACCCGGAAACCGTGCAGGAAAGAACGTACCTTTGGCACGGAAGCTAGCAATCTCTGAAAATGCCATACGTCTAGCAAGTCCTGGCCGAGTACCTTCGCTGCGGTCTCGTCATCGAATTCCCAATCAACCTGTCTCGGGCATTCGGGGCAGCGGATCGGGAATACACCGTTACCATCCCCGTCGCCCGATTCCATCCGTACACGGAGATATTGTGTCATGCAGTTTAAGCAGTATCGATGAGATGAAGGACATGGAAGTGATAGTCCGTATGTATGGGCGTCGTTAGAAGATGACGGATTTAGAGTGACTTTGAGTGGGTTCAGTGTCCAGCGAAAGGGTTCTTGACAGATGCCACAGACGGTTTTTGGTGTGCAGCGGCGAGTGGTATCCATGACATCATACAAATCGGCGTCATCGCCATAGGATGAGGCGTAAGATACTGTAGGGGAGGAGGGACGAGCGGGTTGTTTGCCAGATTTGCGAGTTGTTCGTGGATCGGAGCTGATCGTGTCGCCATTGCTTGTTTCGGTGGCATCCTTAATAAAGAAGTGAGGAGTGCAGCCTAGAACAGGAGCTATTATGGAACGACCTTCTTGGCCAGACCCACGAGGGTGTCAAAATATCGCGAAACAACGCGGCGGTCGACGTTCGTGCTATCGGAGAAGCCAAGCTCCTCTATTTGCAGAACTGCAGCCAACTCTTCGTCGTCGGTTGTCCCCCTGTGTCGATATTAGTCTGTAATCTGGAACGAAGTAACAAGATCTCACGTATTGTATGACTCTTTGCTAGTGGGACGGGCGCAGAGGTCAAGACTAGGAATTGAAGGTGCATCTCTAGGTTGTGATGAGCTTGTGATAGTATTGGGGGATGGCGGTTCCCAGGAAACGGACGGAGGAACGTCATACTGAGAATTACCCGGTGACAACGTGTTTTGCACGTTTGGTCTCGGGTTCGAGTACATAAATTGGGGAGGATCCGATGTAGCGGAAACATTCGGGTCTAGAAACGGGTTAGAGGGTATAGAACACCGGGAAGTGTCGTCTTGCGGAGGACAGTAAGCTAAGGACACCCTCATATTTTAAATGCAGAAAAACGCACCTTGTTGATCAGAGTAGCACCAATTATAAGGGTCAAAAGGGCCCACACCATAGGCCGAGTCAAATGCGTGGTTTGAAGGTGGAGTAGGTGTATCAAGGCCCATACTCGTCATTAACGCCTTCATTTTTTCAGACGGGCGGAAAGCAGCTATGGGAATGAAACAGTGGTCAGATGCAAAGCGCACTGATAAGGGTCGGCGTACGTTGCTCAGAAATAGCTAATGAAGCATACGTCAGTAAAGCTTCAAAAAGCTCCAAGAACTGCACACACCTGGTGGGCTGCGGTGACGGGCTGCGGGTGGTTCATGAAAAAGGTCCCGAAAAGCGGGATATTTGTCCATGAAGGACAAGGGAATTCGTCCGGGAAGAAGACGGGCCCGGTCGTAGAAAGGCGGGATAGCGGCAGTTGAGCGCGGAGAGGGTAAAGGAACAAGGGACTC